GATTTAGGGGGCTTTGGAGCGGACGTCAACGTTGGCGATCCAGACGTGGCGTGAGTACGCGTCAATGAAGGTGGGAGTGTATCGGCCGCCGTTAATGCCGTCGAAGGTGAAGACCATGAAGCCGTTGTATAGCTTCTGCAACTTCTTGTAGCGATTGGTGCTTGGCTCCATGAAGGGGTAGGCGTGATGAGAGAGGGCAGCTGTAGAACAGACGGTTCAGGTAGTTGGGTGTGGGGTGTTATGGGGTTCTGTGCCGCTAGGGCGCAGCAGTGCTCCTAGAAAGAAAACTTTAGCACAGAGACGGTTGTTGAAAGTCTGGCGTGAGGGGTGACCGAGTCGCTGGTGCCAAAAGTCATCTTCTGCACGGATTCTAGAGGTGCGCATATAGCGCGCGTGGTATTCTGCTGCCTCTGCTTCTGTTTCGTTAGGAATTTGGATCGCCGGTTCCTCTGCTTCTGCTTCTGTCTCCCCAACCGCAGGTGCCGTTGTGAGGGTAGAGCGCGAAGAAGTCACGGTCTGGGATGATGTTGATGAGTCCTAGTGCCTTCGATGAAGCGGGCAAATGGATCTGGGCAAGAGATTGGACCAAGCGCGTCGCGGGGTGAAGTTTCAGGCACATTCCCCTCCTCAATCTCCATCCAGGGGTCTTCCCATCGATAAGGTGAGCTGGGTGGTGGGGGTATGTTGCGGGACGGACGGCGACTCGTGAAGATGGTTTTTCAGCTGCCATTTCCCATTCGACCACCTCGAGTTCTTTTTTAGTTAGATCGCCTTCGGCGAGTTCTCTGTGTTCGGGTTCGCCCCACGCACTAGTTCCCCGTCCTTGGGTGGTGCCCCACGCGTCAGTCGTGGATCCCCATGTTGCTCCAAATGTGCCTCCACCGTTGTCGCTTTCATCTCCCCATTCACCGCGTCGTGCTGATTCCTCATCCCATCCAGCCGCAATAGCTCCTCGTACAATTTCTGTTTCTTTTCCGCCTTTGCCTTGTCTTCCACTTCCTTGATGCTCAGCTCTTCTTTTGCGTACGAATACTTCCACGCTTTGTCGATAACGTTGCGGTAGGTGTAAGGGCGCGGTTCTGTCACGCATTTAATAAGGCTAAGCTGATAATAGGAGGGCACAGGAGTAGCAGTATATAATTGCATGACATAACAAAGTAGTTTAGGAAAGAGATGTCGAAATAGTAACGAGAACAGACAAAGAATTAACCGCCGAAGTGGCGGTAAACCGAGGCAAGCGGGAATATTGTAGTCAAAGGGTAACGGGTGGCTAAACAACGGTAAGCATAGCGCTACTTAAGAGATACGCAGGCATAGTCAGCATGCTTGCTTGTTTGTTTCCTCACTGTAGTTGATGATTCCTTCGTAAGCATCCGCCACCGAGGAGCCAGTTCAAGCAGGCAGAATTCCGAGCATTGAAAGCCGGTTTATGAAACCCTAGCCAGAAACACTACAAATAAGCAAGAGATGAATGACAACGTAGAATTGAAATCCGGCTACCGCTATCAGCGTAGAACGATGGAGACAACGCAAGCGACACCACGATGGCGAGCCCACGCGACCAGTGTTAGGTCCGACGATGAGAGTGATCTATCCACTCAAAACACAGAGTCGTTGAGGTACCGGACGCCGCATCAGAGGGAGCGGACGGACCCTGGGCATGGAGTCGAAGGGAAGAGCACAGCTGCGTCCGACCCAGGACGGTGCCACCGGACGCCCGCTGGGCCCGCGAGGCACATGAGCAATGGAGGACGCGAGAAACGCGGGAATCATCACTGACGATGCCGGGCATGCACGAACGGGCGCCGTCACCGGCGAGACACTGGGCCCAAGGAGAAGCCGACGCCCGTCCCAGCCCACGCAGAACTCAAGAACTAGTAACCAGCAGAGCGGTGATTGGCATACAAGACGGGGACCGCGGCCCTCCACCTAACCGCCGATGAAACTCCGCGTCGCTGTCAAAAGTGGAAGTGGCGGACCGGTACACGGGAATCCCAGGGATGGGCCCAACTCTGAAGAACTATGTGATGTAGTTGGAGACCGCGCAGTACTGCTGGGAGCGGGACGGATTCGACCTGCAAGAGTTCTTAGATGGTGGTGACCCTGGCAGGCGAGGCAGAAACCTTCTACCAAAAGGTGCGCCAGGAGGTTTTGGAGGAACTGGAGCAAGGAATGATCGAGAACCCCACCGCGAGGTTCATCCAGCTCCTCGAGCGCGAGTTCATCGGTCGAACAAAAGCAAGGCTGGGGGAGTTCAGAGAGTTCCGGAGGCGCAAGGAGGAGTCATTACTAGCCTACTACAATCGCATGCAGGAACTCGCGGATGACCTGGAGAAGCAAGACGAACGCCTGCTAGTGCAGAAGTTCGTATGCTGCCTCGACGACGAGTTATGAGCGGTGGTACGAACGGCGGTGTATGGAATCGGAGCGGACATTACCCTGAAGGAGGTGTATGGGTTGGCAAAGCGAACCGAGCACGCGCAACGACTCCTGGAGCTGGACGACGGTGAACCCAGGGTACGAGCAAAGCGCAACTGGGCAGCGGCGGCCTGGACGCGGAGAAGAGCCCGAGAGACCGCGGAGACCCACGGAGATGCCACACCTGCCGAAAACAAAGCCACATATGGAGGGATTGCCCGAGCTCGCCGACGTGCGAGAACTGTGGAAGGAAGGGACACAAAGCGGTGGACTATTACCAGAAGAAAACCGGGACGGACGGGCCATCGAAGGAGAACCTGCAAGCGGAGATACGGAAGCTCTAGTCGCAGTTGGAGCGGATGCCGAGACCCAGCGCAGGAGCCCGGGCCATGCTAGCCATCGAAGAGGTAGGGAGCTGCCCCAAGAAGAGCTGGTGAGGGAAAACGGGTTTATGGCGTACCCCCACGACCGAAGTGATGTTGACCTGCGCTCACGTTCCGAAATCTCCGGCGAGTCAAGCACTACGAACAGGAGGGAGAGAGCTCTGCCACGGAGAGACATCGGGACGAGCAGCGATACGAGACGACATCCGAACGAGAGATTGGTGTGTCAGGCATCGGTGCTCATTGCAGAGAAGGGAAGCATGACCGTGGGCGGCTTGCCCATGGCCCAGGCCATGATCGACAAAGGAGCGCACAATGTACTCATAGGGAAGGGGCTGGCGCAGCAGCTACAGCTAGACCGACTGAAGCGGCAAGTGGAGCGGGGAATTCTGTTGATGGCTGCAAAAGGGGGGACACCGAAGTGGATGCCCAGTACGAAGCTGCCAGTGGAGATTACGCTGCTGCCAGAGATGGACAAGGAGTGTTCTCTTAGGCTGAAGTGTGGGATCTCGCAGTCAGAGGACTACGACGTAGTGGTGGGGATGGAGTTGCTGTATACATTTGGGGCAACTATATGTACTTGGCAGAAGAAGGTGCTATACCACGTGCAATACTGGGATTCAGAAAGCTCGGTGGGCACGCTGCCGATACGGTTCGTGAAGCAAGAGCTCCGGGCGGCATATCGAGCGGAGGAGACGGACCTGACACACGAGCTGGATGAGTGGACCTGGCAGGAATACGCGGAAGAGGGACAGCAGCGGATTGATATGCATGAAGGAGGGCGGCAGACTACCGACCTCAAGGAACGTGTGAGCCGTACCTGGTGCCTAAAAGGGTCCATCTGCATCCTGGAGCTGTATGGGGGTACAGGCACCGGACTGGCAGCCGCGCTGAAAGCGGGGTGTTTCGTAGGGAGGTGGCTGCATGTGGAGAAGGACCCGGTCGTGAGGAAAATGGCGCGGCACCATGCCTTGAAGCTGCTGGAAGATTACTCGCAGCAGATATTGATTACGTGTCAGAAAGAACGAACAGGAATGGTTGAACTAACAGTGAAATCAGTACAAGTACCTAACCCTAGAATTGTGTACCCCCTATAGGCTAACCCAGTGTAGCCTACACAAGCATAATATATATAATGTTTGACACACCCCCATAGGCGAAGTGGGGGAGAACTAGGGGTCACAAGACCAGTCAAGGCAAAGCAAGGCAAAACAAGCTCAGGGTGGATCTCAAGGATACCACACAAATTCCGAGCACAAGCAAGTGGTCACAAGACCAGTTCACATGCAGGTTTATAATAGAACAAGAGGTACAATGGTCAAAACCTAGCAAGAGTAAACATGCAGGTATATATAGAGATCACAGTACAAACAGAGTCAAGAAGTAAGCAAGTGAGGACCAGTAGGCACAAGGCCTAGAAGAGTGCAAAAGCGCTGATGGTCACCAGGCGGAAGCGCCTTGGTGAACACATCAGCCGTGTTGGCCTCAGTGGCCACGTAACGCAGACAAAGCTGACCACGCTGCTGGAGCTAACGAGCAAGGAGTAGCGCAGAGCAATGTGCTTCGTCCTGTGCTCCAGTCTGTGCTCATGACACAAGGCAATGGCTGCCTTGTTGTCGACGTACAGCACTGGAGGAGAACGAGGCTGCTCTCCAAGGTCGGTCAGCAAGTAGGTGAGCCAGCGAAGCTCCTGGGCCGCCATGGCAATGGCGTAGATCTCAGCCTCACAACTGGAGATGAGAACAGAAGAGGAGCGCGTAGAACGCCAAGAAACTAAGCCAGAGCCAAGGCTGAAGGTGTAACCCTGAGACGACCGCTGAGTAGCCTGGTCGTCTGCCCAAGAAGCGTCTGAGTGCCCTATGAGAACAGCTCGGTCTCGCCCTCCAAGCACTAGCCCCATGTTCGATGTACTGCACAAGTAGCGCAACACCCTCTTAGCTGCATCCATGTGCTCCTTCCGGTGACGGCCGGGAGCGACATAGCGTGCAAGGATGCTAAGAGGGTATGCAAGGTCAGGTCGTGTGCAGGTCGTCAGGTACATGAGGCAACCCACAAGCTCTGGATACGGGCCACTCGGCTCTACGGACTCATCCGAAGGCAGAGCTGAGAGCGAGTGACCGGTAGGCAGAGGAGTGGGCTGAGGCGAGGAGTACGTGAAGCGGAAGCGCTGAAGGACCTGCTGCACCATGTGTGACTGAGTCAAGGTGATGGTGCGCCGTGCTCTGTCCCGGGCGATCCGCAAGCCAAGATAGTGGGCGTGGGTCTCTTCTTCAGCTCGGACTTCACGTGGGCGAGTGCGGCAGTGTCAGCAGTGGCAAAGACCAAGTCGTCGACGTACACGAGGATGTAGAACGGCGGCAGCGAGGTGTCGGTGCGTAGAAACAGTGACGGGTCAGCAGTAGAAGGAGCGAACCCAAGAGCCGCAAGTGTAGTCCTCAGTGTGTCGTGCCACTCACGTGGCGCCTGGTGGAGACCGTAGACTGGCCGCCGGAGGCTCCACTGGGTACCAGGAGGGAACGACTCAGTGAAGCCAGGTGGGCGGCGCAGCCAGATCTCCTCGTGCAGGCGGCCCTGTAGAAAAGCAGTGCTGAAGTCAAGCGAGTGGAGCTCGTAGTCACGCTGAGCGGCGACGTGCAGCAGAACCCGAAGAGTGGTCATCTTCGGGGTCGGGGAGAAGGTCTGAAAGAAGTCAACTCCCTCTCGCTGACTGAAGCCTCGTGCAACGTAACGCGCCTTGAAGACAGGCGGAGAGCCCGGCGGCCGCTTCACCCTGAAGATCCACATGCCACTGACGATGTTCGCCCCAGGTGGGGGAACCTCGTCGACGTAGGTGCCTGTGGACTTCCAGGAAGCCATCTCTGCGTCCATGGTTGTCTGCCACTGAGAGGAGCAGGGACCTGCCATCGCCTCTGCGTAAGAGCGTGGGGTCGGGATGTCTGGTGCATCCGGGTCTCCCTCTGGGGCAACTAGCATGGACACGAGATGGGGCAAAGCGGCGGCAAAGCACTCAAACTCCTCCTGCCTGTCCTCAAGGACGTCCGTGCCAAGAGCACAGTCACCCCCGACGGACGGAGGACAGACAGACTCAGACTCAGCAACAAGACTCGCGGCGTAGTCTAGACGACACGTGGCAGCAAAGTCGACAAGCTCAGCAACTAAGGCAGACGCAGCAGCAGACTCAAAAAAAGGGCCAGTGACAACAGTAGCCAGGAGACGCGTGACAGTAGGACTGGCAGCACAAAGGGAGTCGGACTCCGGGTCAGCAAGCGTAGGAAGAGAGGACGCCGGAGGAGACGGCAGAGGGACACGCTGTGGAGCAGTGGAAGGACGTAGTGCCATATAGTGTGTGCCTGGGACAGCAAGAGGACGCTCACGCGGGACTCGACGACCAGTGCGAGCAGCGGGAGCAGGCTGCATGGGACGAGACGGAGGAGACACAGGACGAGACGCAAACTCACGACGCTCCGTAAGACCGCCAGTCGGACCAGCGTAGGGAGCAGGACCAGGGAGAGGGGAGGCAAGCGGCAACTTCGAGTGCGACTGGACAGACGGCGGACACTCTAAGGAGGGAGGAGGACAAGGAGGAGGAGGCGGACCAAGAACCTGCTGAAGGAGTGGAACGAGGTACAGTCGCGGCCGTGCAGCGTCTCCAGAACTAGCAGGGACACCAGCGACAAAGTCCTCAGCACCAGCAGCAGCTCCAACTCCAGGGTCCGCAGCACCAGCAGCAGCTCCAACTCCAGGGTCCGCAGCACCAGCAGCAGCTCCAACTCCAGGGTCCTCAGCACTAGTAGCAGCACCAACCTCCGGGGCCGCAGCACCAGCAGCACCCCTAGTAGCACCAGCAGCACCGCCAGCAGCAGCAGCAGCTCCAGCACCAGGGTCCGCAGCACCAGCAGCAGCTCCAACGCCCGGGTCCTCAGCACCAGCAGCACCTCCAGTAGCACCAATAGCACCACCACCAGCAGGGTCCGCGACACCAGGCGCGCCACTCCGAAGAGTGCAGCGCCGCTCGTACCACTCACGAATCCTCTCAAGAGAGGGGAGCTCCCGACCGGGAGGGGAAGCACTAGCACCAGTCCCAGGAGTACGCCTGGCTCCAGAGGCACCTCTCCGGAGGCTGTAGTACTACAAGTACCACTCACGCAGCTGCTCGGAGGAGAGGGCTCCTCCAGGTGTAGGACTCCTAGACTCAGCACCCCCAGACTCAGAACCCCCAGACTCCGGACTCCGCGGCTCAGCACCCCCAGGCGCAGCACCTCCAGGCTCAGTACCTCCAGACTCCACACCCCCAGGCTCAGCACCCCCAGACTCAGCACCCTCGAGCTCCGCACCCCCAGGCTCAGCACCCCCAGACTCAGCACCCCCAGGCTCAGCACCCTCAGACTCAGCACCCCCAGGCTCCGCACCCCCAGGCTCCGCACCTCCAGGCTCAGCACCCCCAGGCTCCGCACCCCCAGCAGGACGAGAGTCAACAGCTACCTCAACAGGCTCAGCCGGGTCTACCTGAGACACACATGAGGGAGCGGCACCCTGAGGGGGGAGGGGGTCTACGACAACAGCACCTGGAGCGAGGAAGAGAGGCGGGGGAGGGAGCGGGGCAGTGCGGTAGGGGAAGAGGCGGTAGTAGGGAACGGACTCGTCAAAAGTGACGTCCTAAGAGGGCAGAACCCGGCGCGAGGTGGCGTGGTAGAACTGCCAACCAGACGCGTCGGGGACAAAGCCAAGGAAGACGCAGGGAATAGCGCGGGAGGAGAGCTTGTCCGCAGACGTATCGCGGACAAAGGCTCGAGATCCCTAGACACGGAAGCGTGACGCATCGCCAACCTCCCCCGTCCACAGCAGTGTGGGCGAGGTCTCCGGCAAGGAGACACAGGGCCAGAGGTTGAGCTGATGCGCAGCGTACCGGACCGCAAACGGCCACAGAAAGTGGGGGGCAGCCGCATGGATCAAGGAGGTACGAGCGACCTCCATGACCAGGCCAATGCGGCGCTCCGCAACCCCATTCTGCTGTGGAGAGGCCGGAAGCGTGAACGACTGCTCAATGCCGTGCTCAGCACAGTAGGCTGCCAAGAGGTCGGAGGAGAACTCACCACCTCTGTCAGAGTGCAAGCGGAGGACAGAAAACTCCGAGCGGAAACGCTCGTGCAGCTAAAGACGGGCTCTGCGGATCCAAGGGATCAGAACATCTGGGACCTCACCCTTGGTGCGCAAGGGGAAGACCGTGGTGTAGCGCGAGTAGTCGTCAACAACTATCAAGAAGTACCTCCCTGACCACGGACGCGGGCTGGGCCCCACACGTCCATGTGGAGCGTCTGCAAAGGAGCAGTCGTCGGGGGGAACGAGGAGGAGTGAGGGGCGGCGCGCTGCCGCCCCTCGACACAGGGAAGGCAGGGAGGAGCAGGCGAGGGAGGGAGGGGAGGAAGGACCCTGGGAAGACCAGAGACAAGGTACCTGGAGTGCATGGCACGAAGCCGCTGCACAGACGGGTGGCCAAGGCGGTGGTGCCAGAGGACGGTCTCGTGCGCGAGAGAGCGACACGAGCAGGGAGCAGACAGCTGACCTGACGCGGACGCAAACGCAGACGCAGATGCAGCGACCTGAGGAGACTCAGTGGTCAGTGTGTACAGGTCCGACCCTGGCTGCCGAGTGAAGGTAGCCAAGTGACGGCCCATACGAGCACACGTGCAGTGTGTCACGCGCTCGTAGGCAGGGGTGAACTGGTGAACCCCCCCGTCCTGGAGTGCACAGCCTGCCACCAGGTTCGTAGAGAACGAGGGGAGGTGGAGACCTGACAGCGTGCCCGACGGGACCGCAGGACAAGGAAGGACAGTGGAAGAGGTCGCAATGACCGGACCCCCAGAGGGGTCAGCGAGGGAGACAGCAACTGGCCGAGCAAGCGGCTCAAGGGCAGTGCGGTCACGAAAGAAGCACCGAGAAGCACCAGAGTCTAGTGTGAAGGTGTGCAATGCCGCAGTAGACTCAGTACCAGAGGGCGCAGACTCACGAGCACCTAGAGCAGCAGCCTCACCAGCACCTGGGGCAGCAGACACACTAGCACCTAGAGCGGCAGCCTCACCAGTACCTAGAGCAGTAGACTGGATACCGGGGTCGGGCGGCACACACAGGCGACAGGCACCCTCTGTACTAGTAGACAATGCAGACATGGCAGTGAGGATAGCATCAGAGTCAGAAGCAAAGATATCTATCCTCTGCCTAAGCAGCGCCACCCAGTCGGGGAGCTCAGCGTCGTCGCCAAACTCTGTACGCCAAGCGTCGCCTAGACAGGCGAAGCAGTGTGACTTTGTGTGACTACGCGTCCCGCAAGGCTGACCAGTCCGAGCACCCGTGCGAATAACGTACGGGCAGCGAGCAGGACTCAGCGACCCTCTACGCTGAGCGTACCACTCACGAAGCTGCTGGGTCGAAAGAGTCTCGGACGGGCGACGCTGCTGCTGCTGCACCGGGCCACTACAAGAAGCTCCCGAACTACCGACTCCCGAGCGACTCCCACTACGGCCACCCCGACAACCCCAGCTGGCGTACCACTCACGAAGCTGCTGGGACATGAGGGACACGCGCGGACGGCCCTGGAGCTGCATCTGGCTAAGCCAGGAGCAGCAGTTGCAGCAGGAGCGGCAGTAAAAGCAGGAGCAGCAGTAGCAGCGGTAGCAGTGCGGGCAGGGCAGTGCTCACCAGTGGTCGGCGCGGCAGGCGCAAGACGGTGGCGACAGCGGGGCCGCTACAGGTGCAGGGCGGGGCCGGGCCGCAGCAAGGAGCTCCGCGGTAGCTGCTGTAGAGCGAGGCCGGGCCGCGACAGCAGCTGCTCCAGGTGCCAGGGGCGGCTGCTGCAGTGGTGGCGACTCCAGGGGCCAGGGGCGGCTGCTGCAGCGGTGGGCGGCTCCAGGGGCTGCTACTGCAGTGGCGGGCGGCTCCAGGGGCTGCTACTGCAGTGGCGGGCGGCTCCAGGGGCGGCTACTGAGTGGCGAGCGGCTCCAGGGGCTGCTACTGCAGTTGCGGGCGGCTCCAGGGGCGGCTGCTGCAGTGGCGGGCGGCTCCAGGGGCTGCTGCTGCAGTGGCGGGCGGCTCCAGGGGCGGCTGCTGCAGTAGCGGGCGGCTCCAGGGGCTGCTGCTGCAGTGGCGGGCGGCTCCAGGGGCTGCTGCTGCAGTGGCGGGCGGCTCCAGGGGCTGCTGCTGCAGTGGCGGGCGGCTCCAGGGGCTGCTGCTGCAGTGGCGGGCGGCTCCAGGGGCTGCTGCTGCAGTGGCGGGCGGCTCCAGGGGCGGATTAGGTCAGGGCGACGCGGTGAGCAGGGCGACGCGGCGGGCAGGTCGCAACGCCGTAGGCAGGTGGCGACGCGGCGGGCAGGTGGCGACGTCGCGGGCAGGGCGACGCGGCGGGCAGGTGGCGACGTCTCGGGCAGGCGACGACGCCGCGGGCAAGGGACGACGCCGCGGGCAGGCGACGCCGCCGCGGGCAGGCGACTACGCCGCGGGCAGGCGACGACGTCGCAGGCAGGGCGACGCGGCGGGCAGGCGACGACGCCGCGTGCAGGCGACGACGCCGCGGGCAAGGGCTACGTCGCGGGCAGGCGACGACGCCGCGGGTAGGCGACGTCGCGGGCAGGGGCGACGTCGCGGGCAGGGGACGACGCCGCGGGTAGGGGCGACGCGGCGGACGGTGAGAGCGGGCAGGGGCGGCGCGCGGTCGGGCAAAGGCTGCGCGCGGGCCTGACGTGTCTGCAGGGGCGGCTCTCGGGCCTGACGGGCCTGCAGAGGCGGCTCGGGGTGGGCCTGACGGGTCTGCAGGGGCGGCTCTCGGGCCTGACGGGTCTGTAGAGGCGCCTCGGGGGCCTGACGGACATGCAGGGGCGGCTCGAGGGCGCACGAGGGCGCACGAGGGCGTACGAGGGCGCACGAGGGCGCACGAGGGCGCACGAGGGCGCACGAAGGCGCACGAAGGCACACGAAGGCGCACGAAGGCGCACGAGGCCGTAAAGGGGCGGCGCACGGGTCGCTAAGGGGCGGGTCGCGGGTCGCGGGGCCTTAGGGGGCCGTGAAAACGAGGCGCACTAGGGCGCAGGTAGGTAGGTAGGTAGGTAGGTAGTAGCGGTGGGCCCTAAAAAACGGTCCTAGCGAAGGACCTGCTCTGAAACCATGTCAGAAAGAACGAACAGGAATGGTTGAACTAACAGTGAAATCAGTACAAGTACCTAACCCTAGAATTGTGTACCCCCTATAGGCTAACCCACTATAGCCTACACAAGCATAACATATATAATGTTTGACATTATGGTGATACCGCTGGAAGAGGAGGTGACAGTACATGACATCAGGGACATAACGAAACAACAACTGGAAGCGTGGGGAGACATTGACTTGGTGGTGGACGCGGGATGGGAGTGAGATACTCACGTGCAGGCAAAGGGAGAGGCATGGAGGACCCTCGGGGGCCTAACCCGAGTCATGCGGATGATATAGAGGCGAGAGCACGAAATAGTGTTTATACTGGAGAACGTGGACATGGCGGATGACCGGAGGGAGCCAGTAGGAAGGGCGTTCGACGAGATACAAGAGGAGCTGGGGCACGGCACAGCTAGGGTCCAGGGCGCATCGGCCAAGGAGGTACTGGCAGAATGGGGTGTCGGAAGCTTACCTGCAGCATTCCTTGGCGCAGATGCAAAGACCTCACCCGAGGCTGGTGAAAGTGTCAGAATGAAACGAACAGGAATGATGGACTAGAATCAGAGTTGGGTACAAATAGGTCAAACCTAACCCTAGGAAAGTGTACCCACTAAAGGCTAACCCACTGTAGCCTAAACAGATAGAACATATAATGTTTGACACACCCCCATAGGCAAAGTGGGGGAGAACTAGGGGTCACAAGACCAGTCAAAGCAAAGCAAAGCAAAGCAAGCTCAGGGTGGATCTCAAGGATACCACACAAATTCCGAGCACAAGCAAGCGGTCACAAGACCAGTTCACATACAGGTTTATAATAGAGCAAGGGGTACAGTGATCACAACCTAGCAAGAGTAAACATGCAGGTATATATATAGAGATCACAGTACAAACAGAGTCAAGAAGTAAGCAAGTGAGGCCCAGTCGGCACAAGGCCTAGAAGAGTGCAAAAGCGCTGATGGTCAACAGGCGGAAGTGCCTTGGTGAACACATCAGCAGTGTTGGCCTCAGTGGCCACGTAACGCAGGCGAAGCTGACCACGCTGCTGTAGCTCTCGAGCTAGGAAGTAGCGCAGAGCAATGTGCTTCGTCCTGTGCTCCAGTCTGTGCTCCTGACACAAGGCAATGGCTGCCTTGTTGTCGACGTACAGCACTGGAGGAGAACGAGGCCGCTCTCCAAGGTCAGTCAGCAAGTAGGTGAGCCAGCGAAGCTCCTGGGCCGCCATGGCTGTAGCGTAGATCTCAGCCTCGCAACTGGAGCTGAGAACAGAAGAAGAGCGCGTAGAACGCCAAGAAACTGAGCCAGAGCCAAGGCTGAAGGTGTAACCCTGAGACGACCGCT